ATGGCACTGAACCAATACAGGGCTAAAATAAGGTCTAATTTGGCACTGAACCAATACAGGGCTACACAATGAACCAATATGGCACTGAACCAATACAGGGCTAAAATAGGGTCAACTATGGCATCTGAAACCAATACAGGGCTAAAATAAGGTCCAATATGGCACTAAACCAATACAGGGCTAAAATAGGGTCCAATATGGCACTAAACCAATACAGGGCTAAAATAGGGTCCAATATGGCACTAAAGCAATACAGGGCTAAAATAGGGTCCAACATGGCACTAAACCAATACAGGGCTAAAATAGGGTCCAATATGGCACTGAACCAATACAGGGCTAAAATAAGGTCCAATATGGCACTAAACCAATACAGGGCTAAAATAGGGTCCAATATGGCACTAAACCAATACAGGGCTAAAATAGGGTCCAATATGGCACTAAACCAATACAGGGCTAAAATAGGGTCAAATATGGCTTTGAACCAAGACAGGGCTAAAATAGGGTCCAATATGGCACTAAACCAATACAGGGCTAAAATAGGGTCCAATATGGCACTAAACCAATACAGGGCTAAAATAGGGTCCAATATGGCACTAAACCAAGACAGGGCTAAAATAAGGTCAAATATGGCACTGAACCAGTACAAGGCAACAATATGCACCAATGTGACACTGAACAAATACAGGGCTAAAATAGGGTTCAATAAGGCACTGAACCAATACAATTTTTTCACTTAAAAAGAATATTTTATGTTTATAAACAAAAAATTAATAATATTGAAATGTAAATAAATAATTTTAGGTCAGAACGTAGCAGGCATTTCACAGGCACTTTAACTAGTAGTAACAACTAAAAGAAATTGCAGTGACTCAAATGTGTCTCTAAATTTCATATCTCATATTTTTTCTGTGCACAAGTCAATAAAATGTGGTTTACAATTGAGGTTGTTGTTTGTTTTTAGAATTAAATTTTACGTATTTATAACAGGATGAGTAAAGAATGTATATTAACCTTCTTGTTTATGTTGAAGTGGTTGTCATGACACCAACCAAGAAATTTTTGAAGTTTGTGATCATTGCTGTCATCTTGTTCTGCTGAAACATGTACTACTTTTAGTTTCTTGTTTGGTCCTGCCATCATTTCACTAAGTTGGAAAATAAAACAAAAAGCTAAGTCAAATAGTATACGCAATGTGTCATACTGTGCTATCACTAAAAACCATCTTGTACAGAAGTTTCACTAAGATTTGAAGTATGTGAATATAGATTTAGAAAGTAGGAATAAATACCACACTTTTCTACAAGTTTTAAAAATTCATATCTGGCTGAACAAGCCAATATATATTTAACTGGGAGCCGCCTCTTAACAAAATCCCTGATCTAGTGACATACCAGGTATGAATGTCAGCTTGCTGATATCTTATTTTTTTTTTTAAATTTTATTTAATGAAATAACAGTAGTCATTATGCCACACATGTGTAAGATTTGATTTCTCCACAACCCAATGTGCTTACTTGATGGCAATCGTTATTGTAAGTTTTGATCTAGTTGTAATGTACACTGAATGCCGACTTTAATGTGTTCTAAGAATCCCAGGAAGTAAGTACATAAATAGTGTGTAATCTGCACAATAATCAAACTTGCCAAGCTGATATGCTAATGACATTGTGATTCTTTCCAAATCTAAAGATGATTTACAACATGGACTATATACTTATAATCTATCAGTGCATGTATTGTATCATTGATTCAAATTTGAAATCTAAAAATACCTCAAAGATATTTATCTGTAGTGAGCTTGAGAGATATATTAAGGACTGTCATTTCAAAAATAACACATATCAAGTGTATATCTTTACAAAACTTTTAACTAACATCAATAATAAAATGAAACAATTCCTGATACAAAAGCAAAGGGAATTAATAAATGATGACAATTAACATTAATAGTAAAAATAAAATAAACATACAAAAAAAAATAAAAAAATTTGACATAAGCATTGAATATGAAAATCACCTCATGAATATTAATAATACAACCCACAAACATGTAGCATGTGCACAAAATTTAGACTCAACAACCAATCTCTGAAAATTGTAACTGACAATCACTAAACTTAATTCCATGTTGATGGGAGAATTTTGTTGGAGATTCCAAATAAATTTAAGACAAAAACATTTTGTGATGTCCTACAAACAAACAAAGAATTAAGTTTTTCCCATTGGGCCATTCCAGTTTATATCTGCACCCCCCCCCTCCTCCTGGTTGATGTGGTCGGATTTCCAGCACTGTATGATGGGGAAAATACCCCGGAATTCCAACTGTATATGGAGAAACAGAATCTGGAAATCCAGACGAGTATGGAAAAAAAATTCCTGAAAATCCAGGTAGTTATGGCTACTAAATACAATATGGCCTAGTTTATCTCGCCATATACCGGTTGATGAGGTTGGATTTCCAACAGTATGACTAAAAAAACTTGGAATTCTGACTGTATATGGTAACAAAATTGGGCCAGTATGAAATAGTTATTACTGAAATTAGAAGGATGGTGGCACGAATGAGCTCATCAACACCGTGAATCAGACTAGTTTGGATTTC